CCAAAACATATTGAGTGGAATATATATCAACATTTCCATCCTCGGTGATCATGCCTGACTTCTATAATACTGAATGCTATTGAATTATTTGATATTAAATCCCCAATATCATGTTACATGGCATTGTTGCATTTTTGCAATAAACTTTGATTCTCTTGTCTTATATGATCTAATATATAAGGCTCAGCATAATTGAGTACAGTAATTTTGGTGGATTTAAATAAAACAGATTTATTAAACAGATATATTTATTAAAATAATATTTGAGTCGCCAAACATATTTAGAAATTGAAAGGTAATACAATTAAATTCAAGCAAAATATTTGATTTATATAAATAATACAACCTACAATATTTCAGCTCAATTTTTCAAATTTTTGTTTCTCTAGATTTTTCCTCTTTTTAAAATTTGTATTTCAGATTTTTCTATAACATATAAATGTCGGTGTACTAGTTTTTGGACCGTTATCTTAGCTCCAGATTTGGCTTCAGTATTGATTAATCTAATGCTAATGCACAAATAATATTGTATAGCTTCGTACTAAACATATGAATTTAAAAGATAGATTTGTAAGGGGTGTACTTATATGTTCTGAGCACTGTAAATTTATTATATATAGCCTTTATACAGTCAAGCCTGAAATTATTCATACCCCTGGCAAGTTCTGACATAAAGTTTTTTTTCAAAGTAATTAAAAGCTGAGAATTTTCACAATGATGCCTCTTGTACTTTATCTTATTATCTTTTTGGAGAAGCTTGTGTCTCTTACAGTCAAAAAAGAAAAATGAAAAAAAAAAAAGCTGGTTACATAAAAGTAACTTTTGGATAGACTTCCTACTGAGGTTGAATACAGAAGTACGTTTTTACCGTTTTTTTCTGTGGGTCAAACATATAAAGAGATTTTCAAGCATTAAACATATTGTGCATAAGAATGTTAATTGTTTCATACATTTTTCTGCATGATTACAGAAGCGAACGCCAATAGTTTATTAACCAAAAAATCTTTCAGGCACATTTAGAACAATAATCATTTGTTAGCATATTAAAATTTTAATATTTAAAATATTAAATTTTTATACTTTACCTTTACTAAAACTGGTTTTATCTATTTCGTCACCTTAGAATTATAAGGTTCTATCTGTGTTCTGAATGATTTTGAGATATTGAGCTTCAAAGTTTTTACATTCCATAGCAAACAGTATGTGTGTTACATTTGTTTTTTAAATAAAATTTTTTAAAGTGTAAACAACTTATAAAAAAACATCCCATATTGTAAATAAGTTGTCAATTAACAAGAATGTCAATAACTCAATTTTGACAAAAATGTCAGATAGAACCTTATAATTCTAAGGTGGCAATTTGTTAGTATGGCATTTTTAATGATTTGAAATATATATTTTTTTGGACTGATCACTTTTTTTCCTATGTATTTGATTAATTGCAGATGGTGTATCATTTCATCGATGCTACACTGTAAAAAGCAATTTTATTTTTTAAAAAGTAAGTCAACCCATTGCTTTTTAAATGATTTGTTGATTTACTTTAAAATTAGTGAGTAAACCTGTTGCATTAAGATCATTAAGTGATGAACATAATGTGCAAAATTATAAAAAGTTAAATCAACTTAACAGTTCAAAGTTACACATTTACTGACTTTTTAAAATAGTCAGCTTTTTGTAAAGAGATGAACACTGTATTTCCTCAATATTTTGACATTATTTTTTTACATTAATGTCAACTTTTTAACGTAAAGTCCCTTTATTCATCAGAAATGAACCGCCAACTTATCCAGCATATGTTTTACACAGCGAATGCCCTTCCAGCTGCAACCCAGTACTGGGAAACACCAATACACACTCATTCACTCACACACACACACACACACACACACACACACACACACACACACACACACACACACACACACACACACACACACACACACACACACACACACACACACACACACACACTACGGCCAATTTAGTTTATTCAGTTCACCGCCTTTAGACTGTGGGAGAAACCGGAGCACCCGGAGGAAACCCATTTACACAGAAATGCCAACTGGCCCAAAAGGGACTCGAACCAGCGACCTTCTTGCTGTGAGGTGAGCCACGGTGTCACTCCATCTTGGCATGGTTTTTTCATTAAATTAATGTTAGTAAAGTCAACTTTTTAAGTAAAGTACTAATGATTTCTTTTTACAGAGATGAATATTTTCTTCCATATTTTGACACTCATTACATTAAAGTGGACACATTTGAAATGCTTTCTGTGAATATTAAATATGTTTTGCTAATTTAATTTGATGTGGACATCAAACTGGTACATTAAATATTTGCTCCACAACTACAGTATTTATGATCAAATACATAAGCATTTGCTTTATCTACAGTGCAGTATGTATTGACGTTATATACCAAGAATTAAATCTTTATCTGTTTGCTTTTTGATCATCTGATCATATTTGATGATCGTAAAAAACCAAAGCAAATCGAAAATGTTGTTTAAACATATAAACAGAATAAAATGGAAGTCAGTCTTGATGTTATTAAAGAACTGCTTGTTCAGTTTATTTGCATGTTCGACTATCATACACATTCATAAGGCTTTCTGTACTGTAACACACAAACATATGCTTTTACACACATTCACAGAAGTGTTCATCAAAAAAAAAACAAAAAACACTCACAACAAGCTCCATCAAGCTTCTCTTCTAAGTAGTGCACAGAGATTAAAGTAGCTCATGTGACGATCAAATCACTTAAAAATAAAAAAGACGAATTCAACACGCACAAGTAAAGAAATGGCACACATTTTAGTTGATTTGCATGTACTGTATAAATGAAAGTGCATTGCATTTGTGATTGTAGAGTTTAGCTCACTTTATTCAGTAGGATGCAGGACTGAGCGTTGCTGTGTAAGTTTAGTAAAAATAATTAAAGTTGTCAGTGTTTGTTTAAGAAATGGTCGTGGTTAATTTATAAAGCAATCATCTGTCTTCTGCTCATCATTGCTCATCATCTCTGTCACTAAATGTTATACAGGAAATAGAATTAGCTTTTTTATGTGTGTGTTTCTGATGCTTTTGACACCATTATGAAAATAAAAAGGGGGTAACTATGCCAGTAATTACAGCCCAAAGCAGACAAAATTAAATGCTTGCAATATTTCGCTTTTATAAATATGTGATATAATGTTAGTTGACAACATCCCATTTAGTAGCGTGAAGACGGGTTTGTTGGGTGACAGCTAATTATGCTGCTAATTAGCCATGAACACAACACTTACAGAGGTGAAAATGATGACACAATATCCCAAAACGTTATATTGCAAGGCGGTGGAGAATATGATTATGTATTACATGTTTTTTTTCAGATAAATTAAATGTAGCCTATGTGTTTGGTAAGTTAGTGCACTTCACAAAAATTGAGAGACTTTGAACATACTGGTGTTGAACTTTGTTAATAAAAAAAACATGTTTCGTGGAATCCATTAGAGAACATAGACACTTTATTGTAAGATCAATATTTAGAATGTTCATTCTGCTGGATATAATACAACATGAAACAGTTCACTGTACAGTTGATTCCTCTGACCTCAGTCACTCCATATTAGACTTTAAATCAAATAGATTGGGACAGATGTACAGTCTAATAGATTGTACTGTATACACTACTTGACAAAAGTCTTGTCGTCTATCTATGTTTTAGAAACAACAAATAATTTGACTTCTAGTTGATAATTTGGTATCAGAAGTGCTTTATATGTAAGGCTAAGGCCTCTAGATTACGCTTATTTACCAAAATAAAATATGATCATGCCTTGATGTTTAAGTATTTAATTAGGACAGCAAGGTCTGACTTTTTTAAGACAAAAGTATTGTGATGTAACAGAAGTAATGTACAGTGTACACTATAAAGTCATGGTGCGGTGGAAAAATAATGAATATTGTGTATGACTCTCATGTGCCTGAAGGACTGCATCCATACATCAATGCATCTTCTTGCAGGACTGTCAGAGTTCATCAAGATTCTTTGGATTCATCTTCAATGCCTTCTCCTTCATCTTACCCTAGACATGCTCAATAATGTTCATGTCTGGTGACTGGGCAGGCCAATCCTTGAGCACCTTGAACTTTAATGCGGATCCTGATGTATAAGGAGCACTATCCTGCTGAAAAATTTGCCCTCTCCTGTAGTTTGTAATGTAATGGGCAGCACAAATGTCTTGATACCTCAGGCTGTTGATGTTGCCATCAACTCTGCAGATCTCTTGCACGCCCCCATACTGAATGTAACCCCAAACCATGATTTTTCCTTCACCAAACTTGACTGATTTCTGTTAGAATCTTGTGTCCATGCTGGTTCCAGTGGGTCTTCTGCAGTATTTGTGATAATTGGGATGCAGTTCAACAGATGATTCATCAGAAAAATCGACCTTCTGCCACTTTTCCAAATGATCAACTAGAAGTCATGTTATTTTTTGTTTGTTGCTCTTACAATTGGGATAGACGAAAATACTTTTGTCAGGTAGTGTATGTCATGTCTGGTTAAATACTATCAGAAATTCATATCTTTAGAACTGTATAACCTACTGAAATTTACATCTGTCCCACACTGCGTTGTTTTCACTTTAAGGAAATTAAAATTGACATCTTTCTTAACTAAGATTAAAGACTCTGATTTGACATGTGAAAAGTGTTACAAATGCCAATAGTGTCAAGACATTTAATAACTTGTATTCCTCAACATGATTGTTTCAATTAATGTTTATAAATTTTAAAGGGATATTTCACCAAAAAAAAAAAATCTAAATCCTGAACATTTAGTCACCTGTTTTTTTTAGAAGATGTTATGAAGAATGTTGAAAACCTGTAACCATTGACATCCATAGTAGGAAAAACTAATTCTACGGAAGTCAATGGTTACATGTTACCAACATTCTTCAACAGAATATCTTCAACAGAACAAAAACAATATTTGTAACAAGTCAAGGGTAAGTAAATGATGGAAGAGTTTTCCATTTTTGGCCATACTATCCCTTTAAACAGTGAATGTTAAGAAAAGTAAAGTAGTTGTGATGACAGTAACTTTGGTGTTAGGTATTTTGATTGCCTTGAATCATGATGTGGAGAAATACTGAAGTTAGACTGTTATCGTGACTGAATATTTTGTTCACTATTGCTACAATATACATGTGCAAGCGTTCACAAACATGGCGTAGTCATTGTAAACAGCTGAAATAGCCATGGAGTGATAATATAGTATATTTATATATATATATATATATAATTTAGTTCATACATTTAAATATATATATACTGTACAATGCACAATGTCCCCTCTTAAATGAAATTATTCAAAAATATTAAAAATCAATGAAGATATAGAGCAACAGCCAGGCTCACTTATTTTCCAGAGAAATGAGATTTGTCCTTGTAAACAGGTGCAGCGTTATGCAGAGCACAAAATAAATTATTTAATTCACTTTTAAGACAGGAAGAAAATACAGTGTAACATCTTGACAGCCCACCCCCCAAAACACTAAGAGCTCAAAACAAAACCCTTGTAATGCCTGTTATGCCTCAGTTTGCTTGAGCTGGCAGCACTGGAGGAGTTGAATTCTGCCATGAAATAACAGAAAAACAGATCTTGTACGTGTTGTAAAGCTATTTCACACTAGTAAAGTGGGCAGTTTTTTCCCCCCCAAGGGAAACTCAGGCATAGAAAATGAGCTCTGGGATCTGGCCGCCTTGCACACCTGTGCCGTTGGTACTGTCCGAAGAGCACTGAAACTGAAAGGTCACCTTTCCACACTGCACTTCCGTCATACCCTCTTGTCCGAAATAGCTCAGTTCATTTCCATCCAGAACCACGCTGGCAGTGTAGAAAGTGTCCGGCTCGATTTGAACTGGATACTCAAACCAAACGGGGAAGGTGTTACTAGATCCATCGGAAAAGTACTTGCTGAGGTTGGTTCCCAAATTCACCCCTTGCCGTTTGAGCTCGATTTTGGCGGTGTACTCAGCTGACCCACAGCTTGAGCCGTAAAGCCCAAAACCGGCGATGAACACCCGCTTGTCAACAGCGAACTGAATGCTGTCGCAGCGTCCGCGGTATCGCCATTGATTGCTGCGGTAGGCGCACGACTGGAAGCGGTGGCACTTCTGTGGTGTCAAGCCTTTACGAGGTTGACTGGCAAACTGCAGTTCGGGTTTCTTAGCCGCTGTGTACCATAAGAAAATGTCATTGGTTTCGTTTAACGTCAACACTCCTGACTGCGCGGCACCATTTGCGAAATCATCAAGACCCATTGTTGGGATACGTATTAGATATATGGACTGACCCAACACCTTGCGTTTGTTGTCAATAGAGGTGTTCATCTCCCTCCGTTGGCACTCGGCATCTGCCCAGCTTAGTGCTGCTTCAAACACTACAATCTCCTTTGCATTCAGCGTCTCCCGTCTGAGGATGCTCTCCAAGGTCTGAGAGTCAATGTCACAAAAGCCATCGGATTTAAGCGCCAGCTCTGCCTGAGCGTCTATGACTTCCCAGCAGCGTTGTGTCAGGTCTGGCTCTTCGAACAGACAGCTTTGAGATAAAAGAATACACGCGTTTTTGGCACTCAAACTTGTTTCCAAGAAGTTGACGCAAGCCCGTGCCAGGTGTGGGACTATGTACTTTTTGGCTGCGTATAAAGTTGCCAAGACGGTGTCGGCACTTAAGTCAATTTCGTCACAGTAAATGTACCTGAGAAGCAGAAGAAAATCTGGGTTAGCCATGTAGTACATCATCCGCCAGAGTCATTTAAAATGGACGCATCAGAGCCTGCTATTACCGGCCCAGCCAGAAGCTACTATTTTATGATGCAAACCAGCATGTGTTTTTGGTCCACACAAGTCATAGGAAAGCTGTGCTGGAAATGGGAATACTACATTTTGTTATTCCTCTTGATATCAAAATAACACTATTCTGACAGTGGTCTTAACTTTGTAGAATTGTGATTGTGTCCTTGGGAGTGGATGAATTGATCTGCACTTTGATGCATTGTGCAGATGCACTGCAAATCTGATGCTACAGTATATGCATTCTTGGCTACAGGCGATAACTTCTATAGATGCGACGTGATATTCTATAAGGGGTGATCCGAAACGAGGCATATAAAGCAAAAGATAGTATTTATGCTTTTTTATGAGAGTGGGGGAGGAGGGATAAAAGATGCGGGAGGGACGGAGAACAAGAATTTCTCTCAAGAGATGAAGGGAGTGAGAGATGAACGAGTGCAAGAGCAGAGAGAATGGAGAACAGAAGAGGAGTCTCAAGAGAGATGGGTAAGCACGAGTCGAGATCTATCAGATCTTCTGTCATGGTCCTAAGCCCTGAGAGAGGCGAACAAGCTAAGCTCGCTTTATTATTTATTTTCTTCTGGTTTAAGTCAGAGGTCTATTCAACATTTGTGTTCAGGGTTCACTGTGATACACATAAAATACTTTGGGAATAAACTAGAGACCTCAACCAGGGGTGACCTGGAAAAACTTCAAAAGGTTTTACTTAGTTTCTTGCATGATTCCAAAGTGAAATTTGCAGTAAGCGGCAATAAAAGTGAGTTTAGTTATGTCTGAAATAACTTTTAATCACTAGTATCAGTTTTTCTTGCATTGTAACATGTACACTTAATAAAAGCATGTTTTGACATGTTTTAATGATTGTTGTTTTTTCATCAGCATTTTGTAGCGTGCCAACAAAAAAAATCCAAAAAGAAACATATCTATTTTAGTTTGAAACAATAGCTACGTTTCCATCCACCTATTTTTGCGCGCAAAAATTTTAAGAATGAGCATTAAAAATGTATTCGCAAAACAGAGTAGGATAAACGATTATTCGATAAGGAAAGATGCACATAAACTACAATGAAAACACTTTTACCAAACAAATTCCAGTATGCACATTAGAAAAGTCATGTGATTTCGTTAGAAGATATCATGTGATGATAAAAATATGTGTTAATGGATAAACCAGCAGGCTGAGCTCATTGTAAAACATCTGAAATGTTGTTTTGGTCATTCTAAAATTAACCATCTCAGTATTAATGTTATTATATAATGACTGCCAGGACTGTCAAGAGAGTCTGTACTCCGAATCTCACGCCTTCAAATGCGTTCACGTGTTGTCTTCTGAGGCGCAAGTCATATATTAAATAAAGAAATCATTCACACAGTTTCTCCTATCGCAGTAAATTTTGTTTTTACTGTTGATATTTGGCGCCAGTTAAGCAGAAAATGACAATATTGTTCTCTTTGACTTGTTGAACGGAAACAGTGCTTTATTCTCACATCTTTTATGCAATATTCCAGTTTTGCGCATAAAGGTAATTCGCATTTTTGGATGGAGACATAACTAATGCCATGTATAGTAACTATTTACTATTTTTATTAAGGGTCTTTTCTGCAAGACCAGATGGTCAAGCTTTTTGCTGATTTAATTTAATTTAATGTTTTGTTATTTGTTTTTGCAGAGATATGGGGAAACTAACTGAGAATGAATTGTGCCCACCACACATTTTTAGCATCTGATTTATTTGTATGATGCAAATCAGACAGCAGTGCAAACACACAGTACAGTCCCACCTGCTGAAACTGTGTGTGTGCTTCATAAATAAGAAGCTGATTTTTTGAGTTGAAATGCCATGTACTATAAATAGCACACCTTTTTTATTTAAATTGCCCTATAAAGTCATGCTGGACAGCTTTTTTGAAACGAGTACTCCATTCAAAATGACATTTAAGAAGTCAAATTAAGCTATTTGGTATCTTCAGTGTATTCAAATGAAGCTAATCGCAGTCAATTTCAATCAGAAAAGACTTCTTGCAAAGGCCATATCGCTTTTAATGGTCTTGAACCGTCGGCTGTAAAGAAATTACATGTCGGTGTAGTCGATTAACCCTCTGGATGAAGTCCAAAGAGGGGTACTTAGATCAGAGAGAACAATTTTCTTCACTCCTGTGCTTAATTGAAAACAATAATAACTAAATAATCCGTACAGGAAGATAATAATGGTTTAACCAGGCAGATGAGGAAAGTGCTGGCCAGCACAGTCCTGACAGACAAGAAACAATTACTAAAGTGGTCTTACTTTAGCATAGCCAGAAAAGCTGGAGGTTCCACATCAGGAATACGAATCTCATCCGTGTCTTCCGCCAGCTCTCCATAGAACATGGCATGGAAAACAGAGCTTCCCACAGCAAGGACATACTAATGAGAAAAAATATACAGAGGACATCAAAATTACAGAACTCTTCATTTTGTTCATAATGAAATTTTTATTGATCAATACACTGAAAGAATTTTAGTTGTGACTTTACAATGTTAGTACAACTGTTTTACAAAATAACAAGGCATATGCAAACCACAAAAGCACCTTATTTCAGTCTGATCTCACAAGGAAATTTAACTATTTTACGTTTTGTCAGTTTAGTGGCTAATTCGTATGAGTTCAATCATACTAAAATGTCTGAAATTAAAATTTCTGAAACAAAAATTTTAAGGGTGCTTTCACACCTAGACCTTTGTTTCGAAACCTGTTTTGTTTGCCCAGTTAGTGCGGTTCGTTTGGCATATGTTAATCCAGCAATCGCGTTCGGATCTGTGCCAAATCAATCAGTCTAAGATCGCCTGAATGAGGTGGTCTCGGCTCGATTGAAACAAACTCTGGAGTGGATTGATTGTAGTGAGAAAGCGATCGTAGTGAGTAATAGGCATATATGCGGCTATATGAAGAGAGAATGATGAGTAGGGCGGAATGTCATTCCTACCGGTAAATGTGCGTTTCATGTGAAATTCCAAAGTGAAAGCATGTTACCTATTAATGAGAGATGTTTATCTGTTAGGAAAATTGACCAAACAGCAGTCTTGATTTTTCTGTTATTTCTCTCTATAATGTAATACTATAATGCATAAACCAACGGCACTGTATGAGAAAGTTTTACCTCTGATTTATACTTGGTGAGGATGTCTGTGGGTGTCACCATTCAAACTAAAGTGCAGATTTTCGCTTATAATGTTTTATTGCTCATCGTCATAAATTAAAATAAGGGACTCTGCAAAATAAACCCTGAAACTCTGACCAATGTGGGGAGAGTTTACTCGCACGTTACTTTTTTCAGGCCTTTTGGTCTGTTTAAAAACCGTGTGAAAGCAAACCACACCAAAGAGCAACATTGTAATAATATTAATCACTGTTTCGAAACAACTAAATCGATTCACAGGTGTGAAAGCACCCTAAAAAGGAAGTGTAGCACCCAACACCATCCCTAAACCCAACCGTCATTGTAGGATAAGCAAATCATACCAAACTGTCCAAATGAGATTGTATGAATACATAGAAATTAGCCACTAAATGAAGAAGTTGTGAATTGCTGTAAAATCATGTTATTTTTATGAAATAGATCAAACTTATAAAATAGGTATGATTGAAGCATGAAGGAAGATTACAACTCTTATTAGTCTCTCACAATGCTTTGCTGTGATCTTGGTCCTGTCTAGTGACTATATTGAGTAACATTATAGTTTATTTTGATGGTCCATTTGAGTATTAGTAGACTGTCTACTTAATACAGCTCCTTTGACAGACATTTAACTGATTATAAGAAACTTTGCAAGTAAATGTCAGCTTACATTAACCCTAACCCCAACCTAACAGTTTACTTATAAACTGTTAGGTTGGGGTTCATCAAAATAAAGTGTGACCCTATATTGCTTTTCTTTCTGTCACCAGGGATTTTACAGATTTAATCAAGTTTAGATCAGGACTCTGGACTAGCCATTTTATGATTTTAGAGATTTCATCTTCAGGGAACTGAATTATGCTGCCATCTCATGTATTTGTGGATGACTAGCCTTTCGGGGGGACTTGAATTAGTTGATGATATTGTAAAGATGCAGCAGAAATGACAAATTTAAAACTAAAACTAAACTTTAACGTTTTTTTTTATTTTTTTTTTTTAATATTGTGCTTTAGAGTACGATTATGTAACTCATGAAATATGAAAATATGAAAATTAGTCCTGTTTAAATCTGAAATAGTATTAAGCTATGGCCTAAAAATGTAGAAAATTCAAGTTATTCTCAAAATCTTTGTTTCCACTTGCATCCATTTGTCAACAATTAGCATAAAAGTCTACACTTGATTTGAAATAATTTGCAAATTAGCAGTAATGAGTTCAAACATCAAAAATATAGTATCCTATCAAAGGAGCCTGGTATTGAAGGACACTTTTTTTGGCATAGATACAAAAGGTTTCAAGCGATTTTTTTTCAGCCTCCACTTCTCCAAAAATGACCCATTGTGACCTCACAATAAAGGAGTTTTATGTCTTCAACAAAAAACCTGATTATTCTGCTCAAACTCTTTAAAAGAGCCTTCCAGGTGGTTTCATGTAATCAACTCTAAATTACACACAACGTATACAATGACACATTCTGTATTATAACCTGAATCAGAAAGGCACAGCTAGCAATCTTTAATTTCTCACAAGTTGCCCTTCAGGGTTTCTTTTTTCTAAGTCGATTGCATTGTAAAGGTAACGCTTGGCTGTTTTAAATTTCGGCTTGATCCCATTTCCTCGGAGTCATTTGAGCGTGAAGCACACGCAAAATTTCACCCACAAAGACCGATGCTTAATTACAGCTGTAATTTCCCCCTGGGTTTACAAGACACGTGAGTGCCATTCATTTGAATGGCATTTGCTTTCTCCTCTGAAGCAAAGAGTGTTTCACAATGCTGTGAAAGCTAAAAGTTATCTCGCTGATGCTAATGGGTGCACGTAGCTAATGATGAAATCAGAGGCCAACACAGCAATGCAGATGCATTATATAACACGAGCAAAGTGAATATTTACTATTCATTTTTAGCATCTTTTGCAGTGAGCGGACTTAATTTTGGCCTTTTTAATGCTGCATCAGTAAAGAGCTGACCTTCTCCCTCAGGGTCTCTCATGTGAAAAACACATAGCAAATAAATTGTAACTAAGAGGAGCACCAAATAAATGGCAAGAGTAATTTTGCAAAGCACTCGAACGCAAGGAAGCCTTTGCTAGAAGCAAACATAACCTTCTCAAATAAAAATGATAATGCATATCTGAACGCCAGCCAAATGGACATCATAAAAAGGTGCTCTGTAATAACTCTTCATGGCCCATTGCAATATTGGCTGTGGCGATGCAGCAAAGCAATACAATGCCCTTGCCTAAGTGTGCTTTATAAAGCATCACATATCAGCCGAACGCAGCTTTCAATTCTGCCCTCTTAAATGGATAAAAGATGAGTCATGCCTGAATTGTAGGCACCAGATTAACCCTGTCTTTTTAAATAAAGTCTGAGAGCAAAACAAGAACCGGTTTAAATGGGGTTTCGGTGCAGTCAAAATTGGGCAGAGGTTGAAACAAATAATAATGTCATATATAATAATGCCACCCCAGTGGTCCCCATGACATTTTTAAAACAAGAGCAAGTGGAAAGCGTCCAGAAGATCTGAGTCATGTGGAGAAGAAAAAAATTCCTGAACAAACATTCATTCTGAATGCATTCGTAAAGTGTTTTGACAATAAATTCTAGTAAATGTTGTTTTTATTTGTGCATTACCTTTAGAATTATGGCTCTTAATGGAGTCACATCACATCTTTATATAGAGCAAATGAATAAAGTTGTAAAACTGTAAACAAATTAATTTAAACAAGTAATACAGTCTAAAATTCTCTCTAAAATCCAACTTTGTGGCCTGAGCTAGTCTTAATATTTCAGCAATATATTATGGGGGATACTTTTTCAAAACATAGATGGGTTGAATTTGTTTTGTGTGGTCAAAGTCTATGATGTTTCATTTTACCAAGCACTAATTAAGCAGTTTATACAGAGAAATCAAAAGCCTTTGGGAGAAACATTCACGGTGTGTTCAAATAAAAGCGCTGTATTTACATATTCAAACATGCTTTTTTTTTAAATAGAGCACAAATCCAGCTTGAAAATGGGCAAAAGACAGAGGTTTCTCTGTCAAAAGACCTGAGCCTGCTTTACATCAATAATTGAGGAGCGTCTCAAAAAGGCACATGGCCGGCTAGACTGAAAACAACAGAAAGAATTCAGCTAAGCAACAGTAATAAAGCACATTGTAAAGTCCTTGCCCTGTTCTCTGACTGTGTAATGGGTCATCTTACCTTGTGTCCCGGGAGCCTTTGAGTCCCTCCAGACTGACCGACAACAAAGTGAACGTCAGCCATCAGTTCATTATTAAACATCACAGAATTTCTGTAAGAGAAGAGTTGTGGAATGATTTTTAGATGTTAAAAAGCTGATAGACATTCTGATTTGATACAAGATGATTCTATTCTTACAATGGAATAAAGCATTTTGGAAATAGACATTCATTAGAATTCTGCACTTCAGCTGTTTGCATGTCAAATGGTTGTTTCTCAGGAAAATCCTTGGCCTCTGTCAAACAGGAGTTCACAATAGGATCTTCCTCATGCATTATTGGGGTCCTGGCCACATAGGAGCAGTCGGTAAACAAGGAGCGCTGTTCCAGAGTGACTACAAAGCCAGGTCTGAGAGCGCACATTTGTTTTGGCCGGCATGGGGCTTTCCCATGACGACAAAATAAATATTACCCTTTGAAAGAGAGCAAAGCCCTGCATATAAAACAAAACTTGTTCCTTTCTTTTGCCTCGTCGGGAACAATGCATTCAGGGCGGAACAGAGACCAACAACTACACAAATGGACAATTTACCACTGGAGAATGCTCTCAAACTGTTTCAGAGACATTCATTCAGAGACGTTAAATAGCATTTTAGAAACGAGATTCGACACCCAAATGTGAACCTGCTGAATTGTCAGTTTAACTACAGTTTATATGTGAATATAAATGTGAATAAAATTCATGTGGAGTTTTGGAAAATCAAAAGTGATGACTTCAAAGCCACTATTGGTTCTCTGGGCTTGTAATTGTTCAGAATGTGTTTTAAGAAAAATGGTCCGTTGTTTTTTTTTTTACAAACTACCAATAATGTGTCTTTGAAATAATGTGTTTTAAGCATCCACTTGCAAAAAAAATGACAATAACTGTATATGAAATATTCCATGTATATTAAATATTTAATATTCCACTAAATACTCCAATCTCTTATTTTTCAAAATCAAAAAGTCTGATACAATTATTTTATTATTATTAAGGAATTATTACATTAAACATTTTTTTCAGCAGATGAATACAATTTAGAAATGTTTAATTAAATTAAGGTCTTATTTACAGTGCCCAGCGTAAGTGAGTACAACCCTATTTTGAAAATGAATATTTTGATCCATTTCTCAGTGAATAGGCAATGTATTTTGGTGTGTTTAAATAAAACAGATTTATTAAACGGATATATTTATTAAAATAATATTTTAGTCACCAAACATATTTAGAAATTAAAAGATAATACAATTAAATTCAAGCAAAATATTGCAAAAAAAATTGCAATCTACAAAATTTCTTCTTCAAAATTTCAAACTAAATGTTTAAATCTTTTTTGCTTCTCTTGATTTTTCCTCTTTTTAAAATTTGTTTTCAATATTTTTATATCTATATTTTTATTTTTATAATTTATTTTATATAATATGTATATTTTTCATATAAATACCGTAATCATTAGTTATTATATATATATACTGTATAAAGACACTAGAATTCAGCTTAGTGACATTTAAAGGCTTAACTAGGTTAATTAGGTTAACTATTAGGTTAACTAGGCAGGTAAGGGTTATAGGCAAGTGATTGTATAACAAATGGTTTGTTCTTTAGACCATTGAAAAAAAATAGCTTAAAGGGGCTAATAAAATTTAAAACTGCTTTTATAGCCAAAATAAAACAAAAAGGACTTTCTTCAGAAGAAAAAATATTATCAGACATACTGTGAAAATTTGCTCGCTCTGTTAAACATAAAAAAATTAAAAAGCACTCCACAAGTACCCACTATTATTTGAGAAGTAAAACAAATTGTATTTTATGATGCAAGAACAACTGACCTTCCTTAAAAAGAGTTAACATTACCAGCATATTTGATTGTAAATTCACCAGAAACAGTTAATTATAGCTCTTAAATCAGAGTACTAAAACTTTAATTTTGTGTAATCTTGTGTAATTCTTTACACAAAAAAGTGCATTAAAATCTTTACTATAGTCTCAAACAATAGAATCGTGGAAAAACAAACAAAACAAAAATATTCTGTTTGTCTGCAGATGTTCTCTACACAGACTTTTAATCATTTCCTTCGCTTGCCTCCCTCTCTGTTCACCTCTGAGTCTCACACATTTAAAGTTGACCTACCTCTCCCTGATGGTGGAGTAGAGACCCTGCCAGTTGCAGCATTGGATAGTGTTATTATTGTTCAAGTTCTGCTGCTGGTACTGCTGCACCGTGGTGGCCGACGCCGGCTTCTTGGTAGGAAAGATCTCCGCTGCCATCTTCTTCTTCTTCTTGGTCTTCAAAGTGATGATCTCATAGCACACAGGGGGCAGCTTGGACGAGCTGCTGGGACTCCCCTTTTTGGAGCCTTTACTGGACCTGCTCTTAACTGATTCTGGAAGCATCAACAAGAACGTCAGACATTTCATGTTCCTTCCCTTGGCATCCACCATGAGTGTGTTCACCTGCAGAGCAGTGGAAAAGCATGCAGAGAAGATGCTGAGAAGGGAAGGAAGGGTCTGAGAGAAGTGACGACTTTTGGAGAGCCCGCAAAAGCAGAGCGATTAACCGAAACAGGAGAAGAGACAAGACAAGAAAGAAGAAACAAAATCCACTCCTAATCTTCACCTTCTCAGAGCAAACTGTCAGGGAAATAGGTTCTCCGTCCTCTCAAAAGTCAATACGGCGGCTGACTTTTGTGTCCTTTGCTTCTAGTTTGATCTGCTGGCGGACAGCAAAGATGAGTCTCCATACTGTAACTGTAGTGCAAGATAAACGTCCTTCTTTGAATGTCTTCTCTCTCCCTCCTCCAGTGACAGTCCCAGATTTAGTGCTCCTGCAGTGGTTTAGAAGCATCTAGTCCATGCTGTCTCTGTCTCTCTCTCTCTCCTCCTCCTGACACACACACACACACACACGAACACACATACACAGCGCTGCTCTGCAGGATTTGCTTGCCGTGGACCTGCACTCTCTAACGTGTGTTTTGCTGACTGTGGGGGCTGAATGAACGGATGGAGCAGAGAGAGAGTAACCCCTTACCATGGAAGTCAGACATCCCCCACAGCCAAGCCAATCAGAACTCAGCAGCACTGCGATTGGCTGTAGCACCTACTAGAATATGCTGAGAGCACTTTGATTAAAGCGCCAACCTCTTTCCCCTTAGAATGATGCTTTCTGATCCTCAGCATCTCCCCAAGAAGCCTACTGTGGATTCATATTTACAGTGTTATAGATATCATTAACTATATGAAGGAAATCTAAACTTGTGTTATGCAGAAGGCTTTTATTTTAGATATTTAGTTAAACTAGTTTCTTTTGAAAAGTGTGGTTATAGTTAAATTATTCAACAGTAAGATTCAGAGTGGTTTTGTTTACTAGTTTTAGAAATGTATTTCGTAAATCATTTATTATTTATGCAATATAATTAATCATTTAGATTTGATATTACATATTTTAACAGTATATTTGGTAATGCTATCTATGATGCCTGTATGTATTATGCTTACTTAAAGCATTCTTATGTAGCCTATTAATATATTATATGGCTGTTTAAGGCAAAATTCACTTTTGTTACATAATCTAGTCAAATACCAATTTATTTATGTTACACACTCACTGGCCAATTTATTAGGTATACATTACTAGTAATGGGTTGGACCCCCTTTTACCTTCAGAACTGCCTTAATTCTTTATGTCATAGATTCAACAAGGTACTGGAATTATTCCTCAGAGATTTTGGTCTATATTGACATGATCGCGTTGTGCAGTTGCTGCTGATTTGTTTGCTGCACATCCATGAAGCAAATCTCCTATTCCACCACATCCCAAATATTGGATTGAGATCTGGTCACTGTGGAGGCCATTTGAGTAGAGTGAACTCATTGTCATGTTCAAGAAACCAGTCTGAGATGATGTGCGCTTTATGACATGGCACGTTATCCTGTTGCAAGTAGCCATCAAAAGATGGTTACACTGTGGTCATAAAGGGATGGACATGGTCAGCAACAATACTCAGGTAGGCTGTGGTGTTGACACGATGCTCAATTAGTCCTAATGGGCCCAAAGTGTGCCAAGAAAATATCCCTCACACCCCTACACCACCACCATCAGCCTGAACCATTGAAGTCTATGTTTTTACGTTGTTGCTGCCAAATTCTGACCCTACCATCTGAATGTCGCGGCAGAAATCGAGACTCATCAGACCAGGCAACTTTTTTTTCAATCTTGTATTGTCCAATTTTGGTGAGCCTGTGAGAATTTTAGTCTCAGTTTCCTGTTCTTAGCTGAGAGGAGTGGCACCCGGTGTGGTCTTCTGCTGCCCATCAGCCTCAAGGTTGGATGTGTCGTTGATGAGTGGTTATTTGAGTTACTGTTGCCTTTCTATCTGCTCGAACCAGTCTGGCCATTCTCCTCTGACCTCTGGCATCAACAAGGCGTTTGCGCCCACAGAACTGCTGCTCACTGGATATTTTCTTTTTTTTTAGAACATTCTCTGTAAACCCTAGAGATGGTTGTGAATGAAAATCCCAGTAGATCAGCTGTTTCTGAAATACTCAGACCAGCTCGTCTGACACCAACAACCATGCCATGAAGTAATCCACTTTATTTCTTTTTTTTTTTTTTTGCTATAAATGTTAGTGTATTTTCAGCATTCTTCAAAATATCTTAATTTGTCTTTAACAAAAGTATTATTTATACAAAAGCATTTATTTTTTTGGGTGCCCAATCTCTTAACTATGAATTTTGCCATTATAAACAAATACAAAGGTTATTAATACTCAATAAAGTTAGTAATTATCTAAGCATTTAAACTAAGGTATGAGATAGTCATATTCAACCAAAAAATACAATTTACTCACTATTTACTCAACCTCAAATGATTCCAAATCCTAAACTCTGTTAAACACAAAAGAAGATATTTTGAAGAAAGCTGAAAATTTGTAACCATTCACTTCCATTGCAGGAAAATATGTCAATGGTTAAAAGTTTCCAGCTTAAAAAAAAAAGGAAAAAAATGAAATAAAATATATTTCATATATACATATATATATAAATTTAGTTTTCTGCAGAAGAAATAAAGTCAAATAGGTTTGGAACAAGTGAGGGCTGAGTAAATGAAGACAAAATTGTTATTTTGGGTGTAATATCTCTTTAAAAGATGTAGAATGTAGTCATGCATCATGTTTTAATATGTACAAATTAAAAAAAAAATACACAGACTTTAAGCTAAATGTTAGACTAGATTCCCATACTGACATGCTGCCATATTATGACCACATTTTAGAACTTTTTTAGTTTCAAAGTTGTATGTTGAGTCAAACATGTTTATGTCACTTTAAGACTACAGGATAGTAGCACAACTTTGTTCAGATCTAAAGAAAACAAAGTCCAGACATAAAATATTCTGTCTCATACATTGGCCATTTTTACCATAAAGCAGGATTTGCAGCTCCATTCTTCCAGTCACCATTTAAATGAAGTTTAAATCTCCACAGTGATGTGAGGCTCAACACAGAATACAACCTGTCTTCACTTGTGAAGAGCATTTTCATTTTAAGCCTCGGCTACTACCATCTACACAGCCCTACGTGTCATGTTTAATGCATGTAGCTCAGAGAGCAGACATCTTTTCAGCTCACACTGAATTACATTGTTAAGCCTTTTGTAACCGTCTGAAGAAGACATTAAAGCAATCAAGAAACTGAACACATTTCTGTAAATGCACATTAATCTGATGAAATTGTTAGCAATGTTTAATGTAGGACAATTCAAATGCTGAATCTGTCTATCTATCTATCTATCTATCTATCTATCTATCTATCTATCTATCTATCTATCTATCTATCTATCTATCTATCTATCATCGTCTGTCTGTCTGTCTGTCTGTCTGTCTATCTATCTAACTACCTACTCACCCATCCACCCACCCATCTATCTATCCATGCATCCAGTGGCTCCTGCAGCCGTACAGCTGTACGTACTGTGCGGACTTTAATGATGGCAAATTAATGCCGCTTTTTCATTTATTTATTTATTTATTTATTTTACATAATTTAAATTCATTATTAAACATATATTAAAATTAAGACACAAATTATAACAAACGAAATTCTTTTCAAAATGATGTTTTTTTCCAAGAAAAAGATACAATATATTTCATTCATTCATTTTCTTGTCGGCTTAGTCCCTTTATTAATCCGGGGTCGCCACAACGGAATGAACCGCCAACTTATCCAGCAAGTTTTTACACAGCTGATGCCCTTCCAGCCACAACCCATCTCTGGGAAACATACACATTCACACACACCACGGGCAAATTAGCCAACCCAATTCACCTGCACCACATGTCTTTGGACTGTGGGGGAAACTGGAGCAAACCCACGCGAAGGCAGGGAGAACATGCAAACTCCACACAGAAACGCCAACTGAGCCGAGGTTCGAACCTGCGACCTTCTTGCTGTGAGGTGACAGCACTACCTACTGTGCCACTGCCTCGCCCATACAATATATTTTATAAATATAAATATATTGTTTGAGCACATTTTATCCAGTAGGCTAATCAACTGTGTGAGTGGATGAATGTTTCGTTCAGTGAAAGTAAGGATTTAATTAATGCTTCACTGTAATTTTTGTATCACAAACCTCTGTCATATGTTTGCAATTTTTAATGTCATAATTTTAAAGATTACGTCTTGAGCATCTGATTTATCCTTGGTGCTTAAATGCTTTCATTTTCTCCGTCTCACTTTCGACAAGTTCAGGTGAGAGAGTGTTTGAGCAACCCTTGCAGGAAAATATAAATTTCAAAGAAAATATCTTAATATTAAAAAGGAAATATAAGTTTGATCCTATCAATGTCGTAACGAATGCTCTTAAATAATGTAGTCTTTGACAGCAAGCATCAGTAGCTATGTTTCCATCCACCTATTTTTATGCACATTTTGCATATGCGCATAAAAAACGGTTGATGGAAATGCCATGATGCGCATGAATCTTAAAAATGTTCTTTAAAAAAATGTATGTGCATAACTGAGTAGGATAAATTTTTTATTCAAATTTCAGTTTCAGCGCATTATAAAAGGTCATGTGATTTTGTGATAAGAGATCATGTGATGATGAAAATGTGTATAAATGGACAAAGCAGAGGGGTGAGCACACTGCAAAACCAGCTGAACAGTTGTTTTGGTCATTCTAAAACGCCTTAACCATTTAAGTATTAATGTTATTATATTATTAATGACCCCCAGAATCAAGAGCGTCTGTCCTCCGCGTGTCATGCCTTCAAATGCCACAGCGCGTTCACTATGTGTCAGGATTGCCTTCTGAGGCACAAGTCATTTTTTAGATGAAGAAAAGATTGACGCGGCTTCTCCTACTGCAGCAAATTTTGTTTTTACTGTTGATATTTGGCACCAGTTAATCTGGAAGTGACGATTTTGTTTGCTTTGACACGCTGGATGTAAATGCTGCTTTATATGCATGTTATTATTTGCTGATAATCCAGTTTTAAGCATAAAATTCATTCACATTTTTGGAGGGAAACATAGCTAGTGTTTCTTGAGATTAAAATAAGAATAATGGATGATGAACCAGGGTGGTGCTGGATATGTGCATAACTTAATTGTAAAAAAAAAATCCTGCAGGCACCCCTGTATCTGTCTGTCTGTCCGTCTGTCTGTCGTAGTGATACTAAATGAACTGCTTGCAACGCGTGTTTAATAGGACATCTGGCAGCTGTCTTGTCACTGCAGATTGGGAAGAGGTCTTCCCGTTTTGGACAATCACCGTTCTCTACATCTGCTGGCCACCAGGGATGTTGCCCTGGAAACGCTGTTCACAGGATGTTCGGAGGCAGCAAGGGAGAAGGTGAGATTTAAGAGAAACTGGCAGAATGAGATTTTTTTTGTTCCTAATATTTCTAATCTGGATCTGTCTTGATCTGAGCTATGCCCTCGCTGAAAGAAAAAAAAAAAGATTAAACCAGGTCTAAGAACCCTCCCAGTCTGACAAAAAGGACTGCTCAC